TGTGTACTAACAAAATAATATTTTATATGCCTTTCTCACAAATACATGCTTTAATGATAATGTTAGCTAAAAACCACGGGCATGTTAATCATTTAGTCATGGGTTTCACATGAAATATCTTTTTTTAATGTGCACACCTACTCTGTGAGTTGGTGTTATTATTATTATCCCTGTTTTGTGGATGAGGAAAGTTAGGGTCAAAGAGGTTAAATAACTTGCCCAAAATTACATAGCTGAATGGTTTTAACCACTACAAGATAATAGGTAGCTTTAATTCACAGGTCTTTTCTAACAACCTCATGTCTGTAGGCAACATGTTGAAACAAGTATACTTTACAGGTAAAAAAAAATTAAGGTCTATAAAGAATAAATAACTTGTTCAATATCATACTAACTTAGCATCAGCACCCACGAATAAAATAATTCCTGAAAAGGCAGTCTAATGGTACTGTAATAATAACAAATGTTATATATGGAGTTCCAGTTTAAATATACATTCTAACAACATGGTCAGAACGTATCTTTCTAAACCTAAGAAAAGTTCAGCTGTCAGTTCTCAATTTTGTTATTTTTTTTTCAACTAGCTACAACTGAATAAGACTGATGCTCTGATTACTGTTATATGTGGTACAGAAAACTGTAATAGAAATTTGGAATTATCCAGTGAATTTATATGCCTCCATTATCAGCTTGGCATAATAAAGTAATTAAGGACAATACGACTGCTTATAAATAACTCAACCCAACATTAATATTTGATAAACTTTTATTCTCATCCTGTAAATATTTTAACACTTCCAACTTCCAATAACAATATGCTACAACAGAAAGGACTCCTTAAAAAGCTAGCTATTAACTCTCACATACATGGCAGTTAATATCACACTAAAATGGTATATATCAATAACAAAAAATGTCTACCCCTTTTTTCCAAACTTACAAGGAATTTTAAAAAAGAAACAAAAGAAAACAAAAACTGATAATTCATTTGGGTAGCTGGTGTAAATTCTGTGGAATACTGATGTAAATTCAGTACTGGTGGAAGAGTGGTGTAAATTTCATATCGAATTTACTAATAATGCCTTCTCCCAGATTTTATACAAGATACAAACTCATATTTGGGACAACATATGCATACCTCAGAGACACTAACTCTCTGTATTAAAATATATGCTTCCAGTTATATGAATGGTATCACTTTAATATTTAAAATATCAAAATTATAAGCATAGGCTTAACAGTTATATGCTGAGTTTTCTTGATCTGTTCTCTAAAAGAATATGCAAGACCAAGAGGTTTTGATGTAATCTCTCTTGGTTTATAATTTTCCACTTTTACTTTTTACATTAAAATTGCCTTTCTCCAAACTAGAGGATGAACAAACTAAGAAAATCAGTTCTCTCTGAATAGCTATTTGATGAAACAGAAGCAGAAACAATAAGCTACTCACTTCCATCTTTGTTTATTCAACCAATATTTTTAAAGTGACTGACTCATGTATGCTCAGTACACTCTCTCTTCAGTATTTAATGAACTGTGGTAATTGAAGGGGAAAGATCACAACCAAAGAACTTCCAACATGTCTCTGGTAGTGATAGACATAGTAACTATAAGGTGAATTACAGAAATCTTATTTTTTTGTGACACAATACATCAGCATGTGGTAACTCAGGGGTATTGTAAAAACAGCTCTAGCCTACTTTAGTGATAGGAAAATGACAAAGTCCTCCTGAAATCCTTTCTTCTATATGTTACCTAATATCAAAACAAATGATCAACGTGTGAAACATGGCTAAAAAATTTTGCAAAACACAGAAGACAGGTTCCACTTTCCAATGAGTACACGACAGACTTTACTTCGGATATGACATATTAATAGCATGTTTGTTCTTTGAAAACTCCCCATCTAATCCCCTTTGGAGACAGAACTACCTTCTCATAACAAGATCAACCACAGTATCAAAATAATAATCAATGGTGAGGACTTAATCTCAGGACACAAGCATAAAATACTTTTGATTTACCTCTAGGAAAACACACATTTGCTTTGGTCTTTCTTAATTGCAATATTTCTGTTAAATAAGAGACTAAATTTGAAATGGTACACTTTTTCCTGTTTGTCTTCCTATAATTCTAGTGGCTAGGCTCAGGTAAGTAAAAACTGTTTTGGAACACAGTGTGCATGTCTACCACTCTCTTCAGTCATGGGTAACAGAGAAATAGAAAACACAGTTCTGCATTAATTTTTTTTTCTGTAAAACTATAATGCTCTCTTGACATAAGGATAAAATGAATTAACTACTCCCCTAGGTGGGATAAACTAAGAAATGTAAGAATAAACAAAGTTACAAGGCAATGCAATATATAGTCCTGATTAACCCTCCAATATTATCAAAAGCAAGATTTGGCTTCTTTTTCTTTACTAGAAAAGCCTTGAGAAAGCAAAACAAAACCTAGCAGTGTTTCTCAAGTAGGCCCCAGGAGGAAAGTGAATATATACCCAAGGGATCTCGGGGCACCTTTCCTTCAAGCTCAAAATTTCTTTCAAGTCTCCACTTAGAGCTTTAAATATTATTAAAATTTTGTATTCTACCTCATAATACATACATGTTTACTTTCATTTCCTCATTGCCACCAATCTTCAAAACAAAGGAAAAACATATACCAGGAATATGTGCCATGATTATGTTGTGGTTTCATATAACTTTGATACCTGGCTCCTCCCAAAAACCCAGTTTAAGAATTATAGATTTAAGAGTAATGTGGCAAATGAATAGATCCATTTATCATTTATCTTCTTTTTTATTTTATTAACAATGTTTTTATTTATATTTTTTTGAGACAGGGTCTCACACTGTTACCTGAGCTGGAGTGAGTGGTACAATCTCAGCTCACTACAAGCCATCCTCTCTGGCTCCCGCCTCAGCCTCCCGAGTGGCCGGGACTACAGGTGCAGAACAGCATGTCTCGTTAATTTTTGTAGAGATGGGGTTTTGCCATGTTGCCCAGGCTGGTCTCGAACTCCTGGGCTCAAGTGATCTGCTCAGCTCAGCCTCCCAAAGTGCTAGGATTACAGGTGTGAACTACCACACCTGGCCACAATGTTTCTATTTTTAAAGCCTTAGCCACAGTGCTAAGAATTTATTACCTAAGTTGTCTGCTTGGGTTAATTTCTTGTCTATTCTGTAACACCAACTAGAGCTCAAACCATGCCTCCTTCTTGATAACTTCAAAAGCCAATTTTATCTGTGTACTGGGAAGCAAGGTGCTAAAAGTGCTAGATATTTTAGGAGAGAGGAGACTGTATGAGTAGTCATCTAGAGGTATGGGAGAGTAAATGGACCGGGGAAACAGAAAATGATTCTTGGGTAGCATAAAGGACTCACTGAGCTAAAGGATCATTAATTTAAAGTGAGACTGGTAAACATGGTTACCTTTTTTTTCCTCTAGGTGTGTTCAGATGTATGGGTGTGGACAAGGAGTTAAGAGAACACAAGGCTATATCACTATCATGACTATGAAATTTAAGCTGGATAAGGAAAGTAAGATCAGTAAAACCAGAGACTGAAAAAAAAATAGATTTTTAAAACTGAGGGTTCCAATAGGTCTAAACACTTCAAAACTGTGAAACTGAGATTATGGAGGGGTTACAGTTTAGATAAAGATAAAATATAGAAGTGGGTACATAGTGAGATGGAATGCAGGGCAAAATTTATCGGGAGAGAGGGGTTTCAGATTTGAAGACACCAGGATATTAGAAGAATTATACATATGAACAATGGAATCACCAAGAATTACAAAACAAGCAGTACTGGAATGAATGCCAGTAAACCAAGAACCATAATCTATTAGGAGACAATTTTCCATGGATCTTGTGTTTCCGCACATATTGTGAGCAGAGGCATGGACTGTCTTTGTTCTGGGCTATCTTTTTAAGCATGCTTGTGTATCAAACAGCCCTGGAAAATAGACAGTGTCTTCTTCCACAGCAAAGGATAGGTTTCCTTACACTCTTGGAAGAGACAGTCTCTTCCTTCCAAACAAGGGCAGACAAGCTTAGTATCCATTATAAAAGATTCCAGTTCCCTAAGCTTGGTGTTCCTCATCTGTCATTTAATCCATGGTGTGTGCAGGTATCATCTGGACCTCTTCATATCACCCCTTGGGAATCAGAGAATTCATGCAAGCAAATGCTGTCACTTTAGCTAAAGTTTTTGCTATTAGTAATAAGGTCCTTTGTCTCTGGGCCAGAAATCTCCTGTCTTCTGCCAGCATCCATGAAATTATGGCAGGTTAACTTCTTAGCTTGCAAGTAAAGCAAATCTCAGACACTTCACAATTCTTAACAAAATCTCCACTGAGTGAGAGATGGAGATGAGTGATGACTATAACTAAATGGATAGAAGGTGGTATAGTCTGATAACATAAGATAAAATTCGGAGGTGTTTGAGAAGAAAGAATGGTCTGGAAAATGCAACGAGAAGCTAAGAGTACACCTCCAGGTTCAAAGGCAGAAAGAAGCAGGAGAGAAAATGGCTACTACCTGAAAGGGTTGCAGGTAGTATCATCAGGGAAGCAAGATTTAATTTAGAGCAAAATTAAAGTAATATTAACAGAAGAGGCTGAAGATAAAAAGAAATTTGCTGATGACTGACCTTGAGTTCCAGAGACTTTATGAAAGATTTTCAGGCAACACGGAGAGGTAGGTTTTAGGGTTAGTTTTGGATACATGTGTTAAGAAACCCACGAGTCTTGAGCTCCTTGCTGTAACTTACATGAGCAAGATAAAAGGTCATGATGAAATTAAGTTATGATAGTTTTAATCAGATCAAATATTTGCTTGTTTCTATGTCCTTTGACCACTTTTACCAACAAAATATCTATTATGAAATGCTTTATCTCTTACTAACATCATTTTAGAAAATTTAGAACATATGAGTTTTTAAAAATTTAAATGCCAAACTGTTATTTAAGATAGTAAGAAGCAAGTGTTAACTTACTTGAATTAGATCTAAAATGCCAAGTTCACTTTCTGAGGAATCCACACAGAAGACAAAATATAACGTTGCGTAATGTCTATAAATCAGTTTGTTGTCAGATCCTCCAATTAATCTAAATGACAAAAAAATTGTAATGTTATTGGAAACAAAATGCAAAACATTTTCATTAGCGCAAGCAAACTGACAATTTGTTTAAAAACCACTTGTCAAACGAAAGGTGACATTCAATGGCAAAGCATTTAAGTGAACTTATTCAGAGACTAGGTAAATTAAGATGGCTGTTTTCTTCAGCAATATCAAGTAAAAGAAGCCAGTGCTTAATTTCAGTTCATTCATTCATTAAACCGTTCTCTGAGTAACTACTGTGTGCCAGGTACTGGTAGTGGGGAAGGAGCAATAAACAAACATATCAGAACATCATCAGATAGTGGCAAGTGTTACACTAAGAATCAAAATACAACGATGATATATTGATGGGTTCCCTATTTCAGGCTGAATATTAAGCAAGAGTGACATTTAAGCTGAGATCTAATGATAAGGAGTTGGCTTGAAAAAAATTTAGAGAAGAGCATTTCAAGCTAAGGTAGTAAGTAATAAACGGCCATTTCATCAAGAACAAAGTATGTATGTTCAGGGAAGAGAAAAAAGGTCAGTAGATAAGAAAAGATTAGTAAATGATACAGTCAGAGAAGTAGGCAGAAATTAGATCATGGGGCATTTGTAAGTGCTTACTAGATTTAACTCCATACGTCACAGTAAGTTACACAGCTTAAGACTGATTATCAACTAGAAAAAAAAGAAGAATGACACTTCTTAAGTTTTGGATAGATTCACCATCAAGATCTCTTCCAGAATTACATTGTTTTGAAATATAAATGCAAGAAAACTAAGCTAGGATACTAAATTCTTTAATGAAATACTTTTATTTATAATGACTGGAATTTTAGTATTTTAAAAATAATAATTTAGGAATCATTCCAAACATCTTATAATTTTCTAAATATAGTTTAGCTATTTCATAGTTAAGTTCGCAATAATGAATTCACCTTCTTAAAAGACCTCTAAACACTTAACATAATTTACAATCAAGGTTATATGAAACCAAAAGTAAACTAACATCCATCCCAACAGAATATAGGAAAATGGCATTTCTTTCTCTCTCTCTCTCTTCTTTCTTTTTGAGACAGAGTTTCACTCTGTCACCCAGGCTGTGACAGAGCCTGGGTGGCGCTATCTCAGCAGCCTCCGCCTCCTGGCTTCAAGCCACTAAAGTAGCTGGGATTACAAGCGCGCACCACCACACCCGGCTGATTTTTGTACTTTTAGTAGAGATGAGGCTGGTCTCGAACTCCTGAGCTCAGGAGATCTGCATGCCTAGGCCTCCCAAAATGCTAGGATTACAGGTGTGAGCCACCATGGCTGGCCAGCATCTATTTTTTATGCAGTAAAAATAATACTAAACTTACAAGTTCTGTAGAAACAACTTCTCAAGGTATATACTACTTCTATGTCCTCTAATAGCAAAAGGAGAAATGATCTTTGACAAGAATAAAAATTTCCTACTATCCTAGATACTCCTCTAGAGAAGATATTTAATTTAAAAATATCTACATGCAATTTAAAGATTCTGAGAGTGTATTTATAGACTGTGACTGCAATTGTTCCCTGAAAGAGGTAAAAAGAACACAAATAGGAGGCTTCACTTCATTCTGAAACAGCAATTTAGTGATTATCTTAAAATTTTGCTTTACTTTAAAAGGAGAGCAAACTTCTGAAGAATATAAGTTTCAAAGAGGCCATTAATGCTATTAAAAGCAAGCAAAAATATTAATGTGGCAAGTATATATTTTACCTTTAAAAATATAATTTTATCTTTAAGCTATAGTATAATACTGATAAAAATTCCTGTACAGAATGCAATACATCATATACAACCACAGGATTGAGAAATCCTGTTAGTCCAAATAACTCATTTTATAGAGGAGAAAACTGAGGCCCAAGAATTTAAGTGACCTGTCCAAGAAAATCAGCCTCTTAGTAACAAAACTAGGATTAAACTAGATGTGTAGCCTCATCTTTGCTGCAATATTTGCTTTCTATTTTTTGTAAGGTTAAAAAAGAACAATCACAATTTCAAGCCACAATTTCTATTTCAAATAGCACCCTAGTTAGATTAATCAGGTTCTTACTTCTAAATGCAGTACACACTGTGCTGGGTGGTAAGTTTCCTAGGAGATAAGAAATCAAGAGGCTAGGATGAGAGGAAGTGACAGTAATGTCAAAGACAACTAAAGTTGAATCAATACAAGTAAAATTCAAAAACAGAAGCAGGTACACTTGTCTCAATTATTAAATCAGAAGCCTTGAGTTAACAGAAACATTTTTAAGTATGTATTGGACATTTAAGGACAGCATGATATAACCTTTTAGGAAACCCAAGTTAAGTGTTCCACATGATAAAAAGTAACTTATGACCATGGATTCCCTGTTATCCAGAGTATTTCTCATCCATCATACACATTAAAATACAGAAAATTCTAGGTTTCTCTGACTGATTCATGTTTGAGAACAAACTGTTTTCATGGAAGTTATTAGTTTAAAAGTATTTATTTGTAATATTTGGCAATATTCTTATTCATTTTAAAATAGAAAAATCGATTAGCTGAATTAGGTATATTTGAAAAACAGACTTCAGTATTGTAATAGTAAAATAAAAAATGTAATCTAATTTTTATGCACATTCACACAAAGGAATACTCTATAGTCATTAAAAAGAATAAGCTTGTCCTAGATGTGTTTACATGCAAAGTTTTTGAACATACTGAGAACCAGCAACATGCAAATGAGCATATAAGCATAATCTCATAAATAAAAATTTCAAGGTTGTATGTTAGTCAACACATATAACATACTTAATATGTTAGTCTATACAAACAATTTTCTAGAAGGATACACAAGAAATTGGGTAGAAGGACTAAGGTTGAGAGATTCTTATTTTACATTTTATACTTCCCTGTAATGTTGGAATTTTTACCATTAATATATTACCTTTATATAAAATTCCCTTTCAAAATTTTTAAGAGGGAAAAAAAGATTTCATATCTTTAAAAAATAATTCTTTAGGTTAGATTTATAGCTAACATAGGTGGCAATTAATTCACCTAATCCAATTAATCAAAATTAGAAAACTTTTACCATAAACTGATTAAACAGTGTATATTTTAATCATATAGTCAAAACTTAGAAATGTCTATGAAATGCTTTACTTACAATCCTCCTTCTAGGAAATTACAAACATTTTCATCTCTCTTAGATACCAAATGGAAAGTCTCCCTGATGATTTGCTGTTGTGTATCTTCACTCTGAGGAAGAATAATTCATATATATTAGGACGGAGGGTATAGGTTTAATAGCATTTTAAGAATTTTTAAAATCAAAGGTAGTAATATGTATCTGGGAAATCCATCTAAGAGAGGGGTCCTTGGAGAAGTGACTTAAATTACACCTTACAGAAGCAAAACCCAACATTTTTTGATGAAAAAGAAAAGAAAAAACCAAGTATTTATATTTACCACTATAATAAAAGTAACATATTTCTAAGTTTCAAAAACCAACAAGAAAAAATATTAGATGAATTACACACACTAGTAAAAGGCAAACTAGATGTTAGTCAAAGCTGATTATCTTATGAATGAGTAAACTGAATCAGAAAGGTAAAGTTATAAATAGCATAGCTAATCTATATTTGAATGGAGAAAAGAAATAGAACTATGGAGCTTCCAATTAAGTTTCACCTTTACTAAATACAGACTGAGGTAAGAGTCCATATATCTTACTCATCTTTATATAAGCTGATCTAAAGCCAAGGATTGGCTCAATAAATATTTATTAAGCTGGACTAAGCAATTTATATTCCAGTAAGAGTCAGTGTCCTGACCGGGCACAGTGGCTCATGCCTGTAATCCCAGCACTTTGAGAGGCCGAGGCGGGCGGATCACAAGGTCAGGAGATTGAGACCATCCTGGCCAACATGGTGAAACCCCATCTCTACTGAAAATACAAAAATAGCTGGGTGTGGTGGCGTGTGCCTGTAATCCCAGCTACTCGGGAGGCTGAAGCAGGAGAATCGCTTGAAGCCAGGAGGCAGAGATTACAGTGAGCTAAGATCACGCCACTGCACTCCAGCCTGGTGACAGAGTGAGACTCCATCTCAAACAAAACAAAACAAAACAAAACAAAACAAGAGTCAGCTTCCTAAACACTGCAATAGAAAACTGAACAAGATCATGAACACCAATTTCACAGGAAAGGATGTGAATGGTCCACAAAGAAATAAAAAGTTACTAAACCTCAGCAGTAATTAAGTGAAATACAAATTAAAACAACGAGATAGTTCCACATGTACCATATTGGCAAAAGTATAAGAATATGATAGTATAAAATGTTGACAAAGATGTAGAGCCAAAGAAACTCTCACCTCACCAGTGGTAGGGTAAACATATAATCACTTGGGGAAACAGTTTTATTAACCAGCACTTTCTCTCCTAGATACTATTCTAAACCATATGAAACCAGTTTTTGAAGATCAAAAACAATTGAGCATTGGCAATTACACAGACAGTTGACCCTTGAACAATGTGGCGGTTAGGGATGCCAATCCCCCATGCATTTGGAAATCTACGTATAAGTTTTGACTCCCCAAAAATGTAACTTAGCTATACTTTTTCTCTTAACAATCTGTCATCGTGACATTTTAAAAGTCAAACCTCTTTCTATAAGCAACAAACCGTCCTTTGCTGGCATTAAATTCTCCAGCTTTAGATCCTTTACCTTCCTTATGCTTTATGTTATCATATAATGACTTCACTTTTTCTCAAATCATATTCTATAGGTATGCCTTTCTTACAGCATTCCTGTGCCCACATAAGAGCTGGATTTTCAATATTAGATAAAAAGGGATTTTGCAAAAGGTGCAAAGTTTTCTCACACATTGGCATAGCTATAGCTACAGATTCATGAATATTCTTTTCTTTTCTTTTTTTTTTTTTTTTTAGATGGAGTCTCCCTCTGTTGCCCAGGCTGGATGGAGTACACTGGTGCAATCTCGGTTCACTGCAACCCACCACCAGGGTTCAAGCAATTCTCCTGTCTCAGCCTCCAGAGTAGCTGGGATTACAGGTGCCTGCCACCATGCCCAGCTAATTTTTGTTTCTATTTTATTTTATTTTAATTTATTTCTATTTTATTTTATCAAGACAGAGTTTTTGCTCTGTTGCCCAGGCTGGAGTGTAATGACATGATCTCACTCACTGCAACCTCCGCCTCCTGGGTTCAAGAGGTTCTCCTGCCTCAGACTCCCAAGTAGCTGGGATTACAGGCGCCCACCACCATGCCCAGCTAATTTTTGTATTTTTAGTAGAGATGAGGTTTCACCATGTTAGCCAGGCTGGTCTTGAACTCGACCTCAGGTGATCCACCTACCTCAGTCTCCCAAAGGGCTAGGATTACAGGTGTGAGCTACCGCGTCCAGCCATAATTTTTGTATTTGTAGTAGAAACGGGGTTTTGCCATGTTGGCTGGGCTGGTCTTGAACTCCTGAACTCAAGTCATCCACCTGCCTTGGCCTCCCAAAGTGCTGGGATTACGGGCATGAGCCACTGTGCCTGGCCATGAATTTTATTTTCTTTATGATAGTCCTTTTGCTGGATTTATTTATCTTGAAATAGTGGGCAATCACAGCCACAGACCTCTATCTCAGGTACATATCAAGCAATTTAACTTTTTCTTGTAGTGTCATGACATTTCTCTGCTGCTTGGGAGCACTTCCAACATCACTAGTAGCACGTCAAGGTTTATGATATTATAACAAACATGACAACAAATTACACAGGAATTGGGAGAAAGCACTTTTTACTGTGATGTGCAATTTACTAAAGATACAAACTGCTCACCAGGAGATGATGAGCATCACACAGCATTTTAAGCAGATTCTCAAAACACCTGAATTTACCACAATAGCAACAGAATACTGGAATTACTACAGTAGTACAGTATAAACCACAGTTAATTTTATACAGTTATAATACTGCATCTTTCCATTTGTTTACAGTTGTCTCCACTGAGAGTAGCACCACGTACCGAGAGTAGCACCATGTCCAGTCTCTAAGTGTTTGCATAAATTTTGATACATTTTAACTTTTTATGATGGATTTGTATATATTTTATGGTAGTAAATGATAAAATAAGCTAGTATCTACTGTTTTATGCATTGATGACATACCTCCAAACTTATTTTTTTTTATTTCTAGGTTATACAATTTGCAAGTGTTTTCAATTTGTCAAAACTCTCCAAAAAATTTCCCAATGTACTTACTGAAAAGCTGTGTGTAAGTGGAGCCTTGCAAGGGTCAACCGTACATAAAAAAATCTCTTAACCTCTGTACCAGGAGACAAACAGAAGAATGTTCATAAAAGCACTGTCTGCAATAAGAAAAGGTGAAAAGGACCCAAATGTCCACCAGTCACAGAAGGATAAATTACGGAATGGAATTGTACAATGGACTCCTATAAAAAGTAAGTTAAAGAAAGAACTGAACCACGCCCTTAAATATGAATGATTCTCAGTTGTGCACAGTAGTTCACACCTATAATCTCAGCACTTTGGGAGGCCAAGGGGGATCATCACTTGAGCCCAGAAGTTCAAGATCAGCCTGGGCAATACAGCAAGACCCCATCTCAAAAAAACAAGAAAAGAAAAATTTTGGCCTGGTTCAGTGACTCACGTCTGCAATCTCAACACTTTGGGAGACTGAGGTGGGATGATCTCTTGAGTCTAGGAGTTTAAGACCAGCCTGGGCAACATGGCAAAACCCTGTCTCTACAACAAATTACCCAGGCATGCTAGTGCATGTCTGTAGTCCCAGCTACTTGGGAGGCTGAGGTAGGAGGATTGCTTGAGCCTGGGAGGTGGAGGTTACAGTGAGCCAAGATCATCCCATCACAATCCAGTTTGGATGACAGAGCAAGACCCTGCCTCCAAAAAATTTTTTTAAATAATAATTTTTAAAAATTCATTCACAATATCATCCCAAACAAGAAATTTTTTTAAAAACTTAGAAATAAATTTAACCAAAGATGTGTAAGCCATGTTACTTCCTTTCTTAAAGATCTCTAGTTTTTATCTGACCTAAATAAAAACTCCCTACCATGCCATAAAACATTCTCCAATATCTAAGCCACACTAATCCCTGAAGTTTCATCATCTCTTTCTTCTCCCCCATATAATCTGCTCCAGCCACAATGAACTTCTTACCATTCACCTTCTTCACATTTTCCCACTTCTGTCTGGGAACAACTTCCTCACTCCATTCTCCAGCAACACCCTTTCTAAGACACAGCTAGAACGTTACGACTTCTATGAAGTCTTTCCTGACTCTCAATTAAAAGTAGTCCCTTCTTTCTCCATGTTTCTTTGGTATTGTTTCTATTCCTATCATACACTTATAACAATGTGCTCAAATTTCCTTTGTGGTAGTCTGAATTCCAACACCAGAACCTGAGCCTTGTATTTGAAATGCTCAGCAAAGTGGCTGATGTAGAGTAGCCAATAAAAGTGTACTGAATAAATAAATTTGTAATCTAGAAGACAAGATCCACATCCATTTATATTACCCAAAATCTGGGTTACCTTACACACAAAAAAAGAGGCAATAAAGTTAAGGCAGTATGGTATAGAAGTTAAAAGTGCAAGCTGTGTTCTAATTAAGATGGTAAATTAAACACACATCTGCATTTGTTGCCTGCCCAAACCCCAGCTAAAACAATATTAAAGGGTTTTTTCAGTAAAGGCATAAACACACAAGGATGAGGAGAATGGGAAAGGAAGACAAGAACAACAAAATCTTGAAAGCGTTTAAATAAGTGTTAAAGTATTCTCAGAAAATTTAATCCTAAATGGTGAGAGGGAAATCATAAAACTAACTCAATTTGTGTCACAAAACAGGCAAAAACTCATGAATTGGTGCTTTTACATATGTCTGGAAGTGAGGATGAAAACAGTAGTGTAAAATAAGGACTAAAAGTTTGTTTAAAAAGCAGAAGGATCACTAAATTTCCACTACCATCCCCAAGAAACGTTCTTAATCTTATTACTAGGAATAGATAAAAGGGAGGGTCTTCGGAGAGCAAGTGGTATTGTGGTAGGCAGAAAAATGGTCCACCAAAAAATGACAACACCCTAATCTCCGGAACCTGTAAATACGTGGTTAACATGACAAATGCCTTTGCAGATGTGATTAAGGACTCTGAGATGAAGATATTATCCCAGATTATATAGGTGGGCTAATTGCATGGCATGGTACTTTAAAATCTGAGA